CAGCGAGGTGTATGGTTTCATCTTGATTGGGCGAAAAGCTCAGAAGAAACTTGGGGAGGCTTCGGGGCCTCCAGGCAGATAGGCAGAAGAGAGGGGGATTGATGAGGGAGTGCAAAGGGGGAAAAAAACCCAACAGTGAGCCAAGCTGTCAGACACACAGCCTAGGAGGGAAAACCAAAAGACCTGGGGATGGCGAGCCTGGAGTGGCAAGCCTGCGGGGAGGCAGGGCGGGCATCATCGCGCACAGAGCAAGAGAAAGGGCACAGCCTGCTCTCCGGGCTCGCGGGGGATGCAACGGGGAGCGAGGGTTTAAACAGCCGGGGAGGCAGATGCTGGGAGCAGCCTTCCAGTAAGGGTGGTGCAGCGCTGGAAGAGGTCACCGGCAGAATGCTGCAACCTAAACTAGTTAAACAGAGATCTTTAGAAATTACATCGAAAGAGCTGATCCCACTGCGTGTCACCGGGCTAGATGAAGTGACCCCTTGAGGTAACATTCATCTTACTTTCTGTGATGCTGTAATGAAAAGCCACATCGATCCTCTGTCAGAGATGCAGCAACAGGACCAACTTCCATTACTTCCTTGCTGCTCCTTAGTGACCAGCACGCTAGGCCCTGGGCAGACGTCACTTCGCGACCTGTCCTGCCCCAAAGAGCTTCCTTCTCTCCTCAGAGACAAGACCTCCAACGGACACGGCAAAGGCAGATGCTGCGGGCAAGGAGGAGGCATCACAAAGCAGCACAGTTCTTGGCTCAGTTTGTAGGCAACCGGTTGCAGAAACTGAACTAATTGCAGTCTCTTGGGACTTGTTCATAAGAGAACGAGTGCATTCCCCCTTCTTGTTACTGAGCATCAAGCGCCTGATGAGAGAGGGATTTGGGGACAAGACAATGTGAAGATATCTAGCACAAAATGATTAGCCAGAATGTATTGTTAATAAGCTGCTTATTCATATAATTGGAAATTATTTGCAGCCAGGGTGTCAGTGCAGTCTTTCCGCGCTGCTCTGGTGGAGCGAGGCAGGTAGGCACTGGCCCAGGGGAGACCACTGTGAGCGCATCTGCTGGCAGAGGGCAGGCAGAGGGATTTGCAGTCACAGTCACTGCCTTGAAGGGCAGAGAAGGGCAACAAGATTTCAAGGGGAGGCAGAAGGGAATCTGCCAAGCCCCACTGACAAGGGGCATACTTCCCAGTGCGGCAATCAGAAGGTGGAAGGACAGTCCTTCTCCAGTCTCCTTTCGACAGCTAGAATGAGAGTAAAGCCAAGAAAACGTAGAGTCATGACAAGTAAGACCTGCCACTGCATGTGCTTCCCAAAGCAGCTATCTGAGGTAGAGCCAGCTGTGGAAGATCCATCAGCAAGTCCACCCCAGAGCTGTGACAGCCATCGCTGAAGGGAGACTTTGGTCGTGGCTATGGTGCACACGTTGTAGCTTGATGATTGAACTGGAGGTTTCCACAGGTGGATCTGCTCACCTTGAGGAGAGCTGGCTTTGTCCTGATTTCCAGAAGGCAGAGCTCCTCAGGGAGGCCAAGGGAAAGGAGGGAAAAAGCTACAGAAGCCATTCATTGCACCACCCCACATCTTTCTCCTTCCCTCACCTCCACTACAGTTGAACCCAGGCCTGAGAAGCACCCAGATTCAGAATCAGCCACATAGAGACTTTTGTGCCTCTAAAAAACTGAAACATTGCTCCATTTTTCTGAGGCCAAGGGCTGGCTGATTTTGATGATGATGCTAGTGTGAGTGTCAAGTGGTCTTTCCCAGGTATCTTTCAGGGACAATATTGCAAGTGTAGCAAGATCGTAAAGTGCGGCTTCTGTCAATGCAATGGGGAGCAGAAAACACCTTCTCCTTGAATTCTGCGTAATGCATCTGCTTTTTCTGAACCAGCCAAGCTATGTTGATATGGACAATTCAGTTATTCAAGTATGAATTTGGTTGTAAAACAACAGCAAAGGATTTCTGTGCCAAGCCACTAAGCTCAGCCACTTCCTCCAACAGTACCAGTGCGGGACAGGAGGGTACAGAGAGAAGACGTCTACTAATCCTCTGATCCACCTTCAGTGTTGCCCTTTCTCTTGGCTCCAAGACAGGCAGGGACCTGAAATTCCTCCTTCTGCTCTTCTGTTTTTCAGGTAAGAGAAGGGGTAAGGGGGCACAAGAGGCAAGGGGAGCTCAGGTACAATGTTTCTCTTGCATTTGTCTAAGGTCCTGTACAATGCCTGATATTCCAGCATTAGGAGAGGAAATTTCTGAAAGTTTCTACCACCAAAACAAGTTTATTTTCAGATGGAGAAATTCTCTGCACTGCTAGAAAAGGAGATGGGCCAGCTCTGGTTCCTATTACCTGGAGATTCTGGCTTCTCCAGGACCATAAGCCAAGTCACTGTGGGCAGTTTTCAGAAACAGGTACAAGTGTGTCACGCAAACACCACGTCCCCTGCACTGCCCGGCCCAGCTCCAGCACTCCCTGAGAGGACCGCGTGCTCACTCGCTCAGGGTGCAGCTGTCCTGGCAGTGGTTCCTTCTCTGCATGTGCAATATTTAACAGGTACTTAAGGACAGGCTAAATCTGTGTGAAGATAGGAAAGCCTTAACACATTTGTTTCATGGCTGTTAGAAACCTCTTAGGAGTTGATTATTAAGATGCAGAATCCTGGGTACTGAGGCACACCAGACGAAGCGCACAGAGCACCGTACCTTTGATCCAGCACAAAAAGCAACTGTGAGGGGAAGGATCCCTCTGAAAGCCTCTGTCAAGGAAAAGGAGAGTCTTTGGGAGGCAGCAAGGAAGCAAACGTACATAAAAGAGTTGTTAATAATTTTGGAACTGGGATCATCCAAATGACAGCAGTGTAATACTATTTCAGCAGTTCCCAGGAATGACTAGCACAGATTTACTATCAAACGACTGACATAGTCTGCTGTTTCCTTACCAAACCTTTTATATCCTCAGGCTTTTGAAGCCTCCACAAAGCCAGCTCAGGCCTGTTAACTATTCTATAAAGAGAATATAATTCCATATATGTTTGTGCTCACTATCTCTAGACACAAAGCTTGAATAGGTACAAACAGATCTGTCCCTGAGCACAGTACCGAGCTGTAACCAAAGCTGGAGAATCTCCTCATCTTTTGACGACCACACTTTCCTGCCCGATTCCTCCCTTTCTCTCGACTACACACACTGAACCCATCAGCATCACCAGAACTTGCACAGAACTGCAGTGGAGCTGGCCCTGAGCCACACAGCACAATTTCTTCGGTTTTTAAAGGACTGTTTCTGATGGACTAAGGGACTGTTTCATGCTCAAGCAGGACAGACTAAAACCAAGGAATCTCCCAACAACTACAATGCAAAGAACAGTCTCCACACCAGATCTTCAGAGTCGGCAATCTTTGGTTGAGGAAAACTGTTGAGGAAAACTTTAGTGCAAATTTGTGATATTTAACACAAAAATATATTTGCTTTCTGTGAAAGATAAATTTGTAACTTGAATTTGTGTCATCCTTTATAATACAGAAAAAAAATGAATTTTGAATAAGGATAAGACCTCATTTTCCTACTAGCAATGCAGAGGGATGACGAGATACAACATTGCTTCTCTTTCAGTGGAGAAAGTTAAATCCTGGAAATTTTTAAGATATGGCTAGGAGCCTGTGCTCCCTATATGGCACATCGCAGCCTCTTGACCCGGGAAGTGTCCCTAAGCCGGCGCTGAAGCAGCTGCGTTCCCTCCACCAGCCTAGGGCTTTGTCCTCTCGCACAGCCTGGGAGGCCGCGTGGAGCACGGAGGTGCCTGCACCATGAGAAACACCACAGAACTGGCTGCTGCAAACGCTCCGCTGCCCGCTCTTTCACAGTCCTTTTCCCTACCCTTGTTCTGTCTTATTTCCTGCAAGGTTTGTACTGATAAACAGGCAGATAGCACAAAAATAATGGCTGTAAAAACTATGTATATGACAAATAACCATGAACCCTGGGGGAAACATCTGAATGTTCCCCAGACTCCCCTTCTCCCTAACCTTTTGTTACCTCATTGCTAGATCACACACTCCTCAGACCAAGAGTTCAAACAAAACGCTATTAAAATTTGTTACATTAGTCTCCTTTTTCTCTCCTTTTCTGTGAAAAAAGACAAGATATTTTAAGGCTTACCTCAATTTTATGTTCTTTCAAATATTTTTGCAAGAGGCTTTTTTTTCTTTTTCCAAAACCACAACCTGAGATTAGCAGCCTAAGAATTTACTCAGCAACCCCTAGCTTGCTAGATTCTTCCCCAAAGGCTGAAAAAGGGACTGACTTCCTCTACCAGAGGTTTTATATGAACTCATTTGATAATGGGCTGAGGCTGCTCAGCTGTGAACACTGATGAGTTTCTCCCAGCTCTGCTGTGCTGGTGGTAACGGGAAAGGAGAGATGGAGCTCTTCTGCCTTAGAATTGCTCCTACACCTAAATCCAGCAGCTTCTTCCTGTCAGAACTGGGGACGCTGTGGCGTCCCATAAGTTGTCAAGGGAGAGGCAGAGAGAGCAGGTGGTGTGTGAGGTACACAGGACTGAGGTCCCAGCTGAAGTCAGCCTCTGCTGGGACACAGCTGAAACCAGGGTCTGCGTTTATTCCATAGTGGACATGTCATTCATGGAAGATGTGTCATCATGGCTCTTAGCTGGGATTTATACTGTGGTTTCATGTGTTCTGCAGTGCTCCAGTACCACCCTACTGAAGAGTTCTCTCTGTTGTATGTCCCTATAACATCCAGAATTACGCTACAAGGGAAGCCTGGTGCTGAAGGAAAGATAAATGTGATATCTTGGTCAGCACTGATTACCACCCATCAGCATATGAAAACAAGGTTCATTCTGAGAGCAGCACTATACTTGATGACACGCAGAAGGGGACAATCACTGTCACAATCCAGAAGCGGCAAGTCAAAGACTTAGGAGTGTACTGGTGTGCACACTGTACATGGTCTCATTTTTCCCTAATAACAGCGATTAAGCTGTCTGTTTCCAAGAGTGTTTCTTTTTAAGGAAAATGTGGGGCACTTTGTCGATTTCTGCCTCACTTTCTCTGCTTACCTTTTCAGTGGTTTGTATTACCTTCTCCCAGGTTACCGAGGAATCGTAAGAATAGCCATAGTAGGTCAGACCACAGGTCTCCAACACTGGCTGAAGCAGATAATTAGGAAGCAGTACAAAACCAGAGAAGCACGTAGAAACAGGTCTCCAGAATAATCTCCCAGCCTCAAGTGATTTTCTGAAGAGGGTATTTTTGCTATAATAACAATGGCTAAATTATTTTTTTCTCTTTAATTCATCTACTCATTCTGCTGACACATAAAAACTTTTGCTATATGAATATCCTGTGGCAGTGAACTCCACACTCAATGCATGTGTTGAGAATTTCCTTTCCTCCTTGTTTCCTAACTAGTGACTTCCTTCTTATAACAGACAGTAAATTATTGCTCCTTTTCTCTCTCTCCCTGCTGTTCCTGATTTTATAAACTTTTGTAATGTCACCCTTGTCATTTCCTTTCCACGCAAAAAGTTGTTTTAGTCTTTTCTTATACATAAGGTGCCTCAGATCTTTCTCTGTCTTGGCTGTTTGATCACCAAGGCAGCTGATGAATTCAGAGCCAACACTCCTAATTGTTTCTGTTACAACAAGCTTTGCTTTGTTTGGGGACATGATTATACTATTCTAAAATTTCTTCAGAAGGACAAAATATTTTGCATATTTATGTTCAATTCAATTTAGTTCAATTCGACCCTCCTGTAGCTAAAATGGATTAAAATATTGGCTTACTCTAATTGTGGGAAACTGATATATTGGACAGTTTGTCTGGACTTTACTAACCAGTTTGACCTTTTCCAGAAACCCAAGGATATGTAGCTAGGGAGATGCAGTCGCTCTGCTGAGAGCCCATACAACATGCAAGATGACCAGGCTGTGCAAAAAGACAGCCGGGAAAGAGCGTGCTGTCTTGGTCAGCACAGAAAAGACATGCAGTCAGAATGAGAATAACACGCAGAAAGGAAGATGCACCATAAATTATGACACCCAGAGGGGAGTTCTCAGCATCACCATGGAGAAGAGACTGGGGAGTACTGGTGTGCTCTTCACGATGACTCTCACCTCTTCCGAAGAAAGAAATTAAGCTGCCTGTTCTCATAGGCCAGTGTCTCAGTGCCTCTTTTTTTTTCTTTTTTTTTTTTTTAAATTGGAGAAACTTCTTTTTCCTCATTTTCCTTGCAGAAGAACTAGCCTCCCAGGCTTGCTGCCCAACCTGGTCTGCCCATTCTCTGTTCTCTGTACTCTGCAGTACTCTACCTACTAGGCTGCTCCTGACTCGCAGTACCTTCACCCTCTCACATCCAGATCCTGAATCATACTGGGGAACCAAAAGGACATGGAGAGCCAGGAGGCTGTCTTTACCTGTCCACTTTCACAGGGAGCTGCTTTGAATGGATTATTTCAATATTTGCATTGTTTTCCGTGTACTTAAAATCACTTCAGTTGTCCCTATGGAGACATTACCGTGCAATGTGCAAAAGCCACATGATACTGGTCTGGTTTCTCCAGCTGGGCACGCTGCGGGTGGGCACCCTGAGGGCTCTGAACAGGGCACAAGGGGACGGGCTGGGGGGGTAGACACTGGGGATCACAAACAGCACAGCCCGCAGGAGGGTCCATGCAGACACAGCCCTGGACTCCTTGCCACCCTGGCTTTGAGGACACTTTCCAGCAAGGGCCTGGGCAGAGGGCATCTTGGGAGCCCAGAGAAAAGGACAAGGCCAGGGTAAAGGACCTGCTCTGTCTCTATGACTCAGGGCAGCCCAAGGAGCGCCCCGCTGCCACTGCCATGAGGACAAAGTGTCAGGCGAGAGCAGCAAAGGGCCTTTGCCACCAGGACAGCCCATCTCTGCTCTCAGCCACTTCCCCAAATGCACCCTAAAATTATCTTAATATCAGCCTTGTTGCAAAACGTGGTGAAGGATTTCCGTGGGAAACCAAGACCTCAGCACTTCCTCCAGCAGCGTCACTGTGATGTGGAGGGGCTCACAAGGCAGACATTTTTGAACGGGGCACACTGGGCAGCCCCCAGCAATGCCCCTTCCATGGGCGTGAGGACGGCCATGGAGCTGAGAGTCCTCCTCCTGCTGCCGCTCTGCTTCCCAGGTAGGAGAAGGGCTGGGCATGCCTCAGGCTTCCCACGCACCCGGGAGCAGTGGGACCCCTTTCCCCACTGCCTGCTGCCTGTGGAGCTCTGCAGTGGCTGGGGAAATCCTGACACCAACAGGGCTCTGAGCTGGGCAGCTCGCGGCAGGGGTGGGGAGAGAAGGGGCAGCCGGGCTCCTTTTCACCTGCAGCGAGGGGCAGTGACAATGGGGTGGGCTGCTGGGGCAGCTCCAAACACTGTGCCACGCACGCCTCCATTGAGGGTTCAAGGTCCAGCACCTCTAGCACCCACCTCTCCGTGGGTTTTAAATCAAAGATACTTTAAACGATTGTGGTCCCAGCTCAAACCTCAACCCTGACCACCAGAAATCAACCTTCCCATTTCCAAGCAGGTGAGTTTAGCAGGGGGAATGGGTCTCGGTTTTCAGAGTTCCTCCAGCCACAAGTGCCCACGGAGGAAGGGCAGAGGCAGAGTTTGCCTGTGCCCTTCAGGAGGCTGTGGGCAGCCCTGCACCGGCTCCCCTCTCCCTCACCACAGCTGATATTTACAGGTCTCCAAGCCCAAACATCCAGTGCTGAGGAGAGCCGACCCGAAGGAAGCACTCTGTACATCCAGTGTCCTTACGCAGCACCAGATGACTACCAGCAGCAGAAAGCCTGGTGCCGCATGAGAGATAGAGAATGCGAGCTCTTAGTGGAGACGACCACAGGATTCCCGTACAGAAACTGGGACACAAGTGGGAAAGTTACGATAGAGGACAACCGCACGAATAGGACCGTGTCCGTCACCATGACTAACCTCCAGGTAGAGGACTCAGGCATATACCTCTGCGCTTACCACAACAGGTACGGGTACCATCAACTAAAGACGATCTTACTGAACGTTTTCAAGGGTGAGTACCTTTTTCCCCACACAAACTCCAGTCTTGTCAGAAAGCAACATCACTCCTTCCCCTGCTCCGATCCCTCCCTCCTACGCAGCCAAGTGCCTTCTCCAACCCCCACTGCCCCCGACCCTGCCCAGCCTCGCTCGCTGCCTTCCCCGCGCACACAGGCTTGGTGTGCAGGAGCCCTGCAGCCCCGGCTGGCCCTGCGGGCTCTCCGCTCCCTCTTGTCCTGCCCTGCCTCACCCCTGCCCTGACTGACGGCCATCCCTGCTGGAGCTGCCCCAGGGCAGAGTTTGCCCCGGATGCCCGACTCAGACTGGGAGGCAGATGCCCGTGTGCCCACTGCTCAGGGTCAGTCACCACATGCGCTGTTTCGCAGAGCTGCACAAGCAGGAGTTGGACAGCGTCTCTGTGCAGTGCCCGTACAGCCCCTGGGTGTACTCAACGGATAGAAAAGCCTGGTGTCGAAGGGAAGGTCAGACTGCGTGTAAAGTCGTGGTGAGCACAGATTACCCTTCAACACAGAGTAACAGCAAAGCCCTGCGAGACAGAACCTCGATTCAGGATGACACCCGGCGGCGGACTTTCACCATCACCATGGAGAAGCTGCAGGACCGGGACACCGGCATGTACTGCTGTGCGTTCTACCTAGACTCTGATCTCAGGCGGCTAACGGAGGTCAGGCTCTCTGTGTCCAAGAGTGAGTACCGACTGGCAGGCAAGGGTGGCTGTTGGTTTGTTTCAGCCCCCCCTCCCCTGCCTGTTCTCCCTCCCATCCCGTGCTGCACCATCAAGGAGCCCAGCGCTGCCACCACTCTCTCCCTGCCTGCCCGTCTCTCTGGCGAACACACTGCCCGCTGCCCAAAGGGCCCTGTGGAGCCACAGCTCAGGCCTGGCCCTTCACGCCCTGCCAGCTCCCAGCAGAGGTCTGGGGAGATTCCCACGAGCTCCCACAAATGGGGCCGCTCTTCACAACTGCTGCCCAGAGGACCGACCCAGGGGCTCCAGGAGCAGCCTCCCAGCTCAGCACGCAGCTCGCCCGCGCTGGGCGCTGCTGGAGACCTCCCACACTGCCAGGCATTGCTCCTGCTCTGGCCCCGCAGCTGCCAGCCCTCTCTTGCCTCCCTTGCCTCCCAGACCCTACAGGCTGTGCGCCTGTGAGCACGCGGTCCATGGGGGAACCAGAGGAAGAGGATGGGATCCCACCCAATTTGAAACTCACCCCTGCACAAGTCATCTGGGTCTGGGTCCATTCTGCTCCTCATGTCTGGAGGTAGAAGGACATCCAGGGAGCATTCAGCCCACAGCATGTATTCCAGCAGTGGGGAAGGGCTGTCACTGTGCCTGCTCTGGGATCTCACCAAACATGCCGCCTGTTTTCCAGGGACCCAACGATACACAGCCATGGAGTCAGGCAATGTCTCTGTCCAGTGTCTGTACAGCGCCCCAGACTACGGGGCTGTAAGCAAAGCCTGGTGCAAAGAGACAGCTGGCAAACCGTGTACCATACTGGCCACCACGGCTTTGGGGCCCTCAGGGTCCCGCCGAACACCTCAGCAAGGCAGAGTCACGATCCAGGACGACACCCAGCAGGGGATTCTCACCATCACCGTGGAGAAGCTGCAGGCACAGGACTCCGGTGTGTACTGGTGTGCGCTTCATTCACACGGTTATCTTTTCCGAATGGTGGAGGTTACGCTCCATATTTCTGATGGTGAGTACTGATCTGTTGGGAAACGGGGCTGTTTGTATTCCAGACTCACTTTCCTACTCTCTCCCTCTTTTTGCCTGCCCAAACCCCACATCATTGTACCTTCTCGTACCAACCATGCTCTGGAATAGCAGCAGGGATCAGAACCGAACCACACGCGTGTCCTGCCTGGCTTCTCTTTTACCTGAGAGCAGCTTCGCTTGCCTTCACGGAGCTGTTTCTGTCACTCATCCTCACAACAGCAGTTCTGCCCCTTCCTAGTAACTCCTCCCTTGGCTTTCAAAGATTATCACAACCTTCCCACTTGGTTGCCAAGGGGACCACGTTTAGACCTGTGTTTTAAAGATCTGTGACTTGTAGGTTTTCTTTCGGCATGATGTTTTAACAGTAAGGGATAACATTTAGGCCCCTCATTGTGGCAGAGCAGCACCATGCTGCAGCCTGTCTTTCAGGAACGTGGCAGAGCAGCACTGAAGGGATATGGCAATCCAGAAGACGAGAGGGGACGGCATAGGTCTCTAGGTGAAAATCCTAACGCATGGGACTGAATGCAGTCTCTAAGTGCGCAGGCTCCTGCACGCACAACCTCCCCTGGGCACAGAAGCAGTCCTGGAAGCAATTCTTACAGTCAAGGCCTTCACAGGCAATGCTCTTTGCTGAGTTTTCGCAAGCCTCTATCTGCTTACACACAGGCTCCTTCAGTACTTCATTGCTACCTGCAGATCTTTGCCAGAGAGCGTATCTTCTTGCACTTGTAGCACCTCCTTCTGCCATGCGTTTGGGTGGGTACACACAGAGTGGGGCTCCTCTTGAGCTCCTTGCCCCTCCTTCCCACCTTTTGATCCTTGCAGTGCTTTGCCTGCTGCCAGCGAGTCTTGATGAGGCAGGACACAGCCTGGGCAGCTTGCCTGTGCTGGGTGTCATAGCAGGAGTGGATTTCTAGCATGTAGCAACGGCAGGGAAGTTCAGCTGGTAAATGCCAGGCAGCCCAGTAGCAATTATTCTTCTCTTCATGTTTGTGATTGCAGTGCCGGCAGTTGGAACAACTTTGTCAGTTACTGCAGGTACCAGCCAAGCAACGCCTTCTGGAAACAGCCCGACACCGAGGTAAGGCCTAAAGAAAGTCTCTGAGCTTGAACACAGACAAGAGCTATTAATGTCTGGTCCACAGTACGCCTGTCTTCCCTGGGTAGGCAGTCTCTGGGCATTCTGAAGACTCCTGCTTACAGAGCAGTTAGATATGACAGGCATCCTTACCAAAGACAGCCTCTCCTCTTCCAGCTTCTGCCCACACTGTAATTACACAGAATCACAGAATCACAGAATCACAGAATAGTAGGGGTTGGAAGGGACCTCTGTGGGTCATCTAGTCCAACCCCCCCGCCGAAGCAGGGTCACCTACAGCAGGCTGCACAGGACCTTGTCCAGGCGGGTCTTGAATATCTCCAGAGAAGGAGACTCCACAACCTCCCTGGGCAGCCTGTTCCAGTGCTCCGTCACCCTCAGAGGGAAGAAGTTCCTCCTCATGTTCAGACGGAACTTCCTGTGCCTCAGTTTGTGCCCATTGCCCCTTGTCCTGTCACTGGGCACCACTGAAAAGAGCTTGGCCCCATCCTCCTGACACCCACCCTTCAGATATTTGTAGGCATTTATAAGGTCCCCTCGCAGCCTTCTCTTCTTCAGGCTGAACAAGCCCAGTTCCCTCAACCTCTCCTCGTAGTGGAGATGCTCCAGTCCCCTCACCATCCTTGTAGCCCTCCGCTGGACTCTCTCCAGTAGCTCTTCATCCTTCTTGAACTGGGGAGCCCAGAACTGGACACAGTACTCCAGATGAGGCCTCACCAGGGTAGTGTAGAGGGGAAGGAGAACCTCCCTTGTCCTGCTGGCCACACTCTTCTTGATGCACCCCAGGATCCCATTGGCTTTCTTGGCAGCCAGGGCACACTGCTGGCTCATGGTTAACCTGTCGTCCACCAGGACACCCAGGTCCCTCTCCGCAGAGCTGCTCTCCAGCAGGTCCACCCCAAGCCTGTACTGGTGCATGAGGTTGTTCCTCCCCAGGTGCAGGACCCTGCACTTGCCCTTGTTGAACCTCTTCAGGTTCCTCTCTGCCCAGCTTTCCAGCCTATCCAGGTCACGCTGAATGGCAGCACAGCCTTCCGGTGTGTCTACCACACCTCCCAGTTTGGTGTCGTCAGCAAACTTGCTGAGGGTACATTCTAACTCTTCATCCAGGTCGTTGATGAAGAAGTTAAACAAGACTGGGCCCAGTACTGACCCCTGAGGGACACCACTTGTCACCAGCCTCCAACTAGACTCAGCTCCGCTGATGACAACCCTCTGAGTTCTGCCATTCAGCCAGTTCTCTATCCACTTCACTGACCACTCATCCAGCCCACACTTCCTCAGCTTCCCCAGGAGGATATCATGGGAGACTGTGTCGAAAGCCTTGCTGAAGTCAAGGTAGATAACATCCACAGCTCTCCCTTCGTCTACCCAGCCAGTCATGTCATCGTAAATTACACAGGGAGAAGCAGACTGATGGAATCTAGTCACACCTTTCTGAGAATGTAGATGTCTGTCCACTATTTTATATTTAAGTTTTTGGTCTGTGGTCTTTGCAGCAGTAGAAACTCAAGATTCTGCCCCTAAGCCTTTCTGTCTCAACTTTGCTTACTCCTGGCCATGAATTGTAGCCAGTGCAGTCCTTGGCTGCTATTTTATCCTATTTACCAGGCTGTTAAACATAAAGGATTTTCTTCCCCTTTGGACATCTGCTGTCATGAACACTACAGCAGCAACTAAGAGTGCAATCATACATCAGCTCCCAGTGCACCAGCTGCAGGAGAACACAGGTGGAAAAGGCAGTACATGCTCCAGAGAGCCTGGAATTGTGCTCTGAACTTTGAACAGTGGCTTGTTTTAAAATCCTGAAGAGCAGTTTAAGAAAAGCTCAGAAGGCACAACCAGGTAGAAAAACCAAGATAGCATTGCTGCAGAAGAACCAGACCCTCCTTCCAAGTGCATAAAAGCTATTCCTGTCCCTTTTTTTCGTCACTGTTTGGTAGTGGGCTGTGACAACATCATGCTGTGCTACCATCTAACACTGGTAACTCCTTTGCTCTCCCAGCTTCAGCTCAAATGCAACTGTTATATTCTCTGGGGTCTTGAGCATCCTGTTCATCCTGGCACTCATCAGCTTGATAATACTGTGCATCAGGCGGCGCAAGCAGCTCCAGAGAAGAGGTATGTGGAGCCTGGTGATGCCTCGTGTTCTGGTCTGTACTAAAAAGGGCCTTCTCTGACCATCACTTTTCCACTCCAGGCAAGCTTATTCCCAGCTCACAGTGCCCTGGAAAAGAGCAGGCTGGTGCAGCCTGGGAAGCCTGAAGGCAGGCTCCCTGCTGTGATCTCCTCTCACAATAAGTCAAACCCATGTTCCTCCAGACTCTGCACATGACACCTCCTAACACATTACAGGAGAAGTAAAGTGAGAGCGACATGTTCACCAGATTCAGGGTAGATGGCTCCCACTGGCTCACCCATCGCTTCTATCACTGGGCAATCCCACAGCCTTCCCCACAACTCCTGAAGCATAGGCAATGCCCAGACATTTCATGGACTTCTCTACTACTACTAAACCCTCTGATTTTGGCTCATTCCAAAGGTAACAGGCAAGCAGAGGACACCTGTGACAAAACAGAGGACATAGCACAGGTAAGGAAAACTAAATTTCCCATATGGTATCTGAATCCCTCACCAACAGTCTGTGAGGAGCTGGCTGACCCATCTGATGAGGACCTTGGTGCTCATTTTTGGTTGTGAGCAGGAGGTGAAATGGTATTTAATGTCACCAGAGAGAGTAATGTTCCTAGCTGGAGAGAGAGGGGGGTAATTAATGTAAAGAAACTTCAGGAAGAAAACAAACCAGTCAAGCAAATTCTAGTAATCTCCAAGAAATGATTCAAAGACTAGAAACCAAGGATAGGTAATGAGGTTGTAACCTGCATCAAGGATAGGTGATAAAGAGTTTTCTGCTCTTTCACCTCTGTCTTGACCAAAGGTAAATTTTTACATGGCTTCTCCTTTCCTCCTGGGAAAATCTTGTTCTTTGGGTAACAGTTGTGGCCTGGCACTGAATCATGCTAACAAGTGTTTTCCCTTTCTTTCCGTAGCTTGACAGCACTGAAAGCACGGGAAGTGCCAAGGATGACAGCAAAGACCTAAAATATATTACCCTGAACTTTAAATCCCGACTCAGCACTGAGGATCCTCTCTACTGTAATGTTGAACCAAGTCAGCCTCACAGGAAACTCGAAGATGAAAGTGTGGAATATGCTACCATTGCGCTCAAGCAGTTACCAACGAATGACAAAGGATGAAGCACAGAAACCCAAAACAATCCAGAAATGGGAGAGAAGAACTGGAATACAAAGTGGGAATGGGGAGTAGAAGGTGTGTGGATGGACACTGGGGAAAGATCTAAGTTTTTGCTGCCATGTGTATGTTGCCTACGCATTTTAAGACTTCCCTTCTACTAGAGGCCCATGGAGCATTCTGCCAAAAGTATGAAGACCCTCTTGGGTCAGACAGAGGTGCTGGGTAACTCTCAGAATCCCTTGCACATCTGTTTTCTTCAGTCTCATTAAAATGCAGATTCTTTTGGAGAGGCAGATGTGGAGGACTGACCTTTTGAAAAAAAGCAATATTCATTTGAACGTGGACATGGATGCGTTTGGTATTTCAACTAAGTTCACTGGTAGAAACTCTATCCCAGTCCTAAAGGTTCAGCTACTATGGCCAAGCAAACTCATTCTAGTGCTCTAGGGATAAAAATCTAACCTTGCTGTGGCTGGGTTCATTTGCCATGTAATGGGTGGGGGATATGAGCACTGGATTATAAGAACAATCAGAACCAGCATCTATCTGAAGGCAAATAGCTTGAGGGTGTATCGATCATATGCTGCAGTGCAGACTTTGCAAACTGAGGATTGTGCTGTATGAATCTGAGCACCAGAATGTCTTGTAGCTACAAAACAACAATGGTGCATGTAAGTAATACATAATCTTTTTGATCCTTAATGAAAATTTTCCTATAACCTAAGTTGAACAGTCTGCTTTGGTAAGGACATGGTAAAAGGCTTGCGAACTAAAGCTAAATGTTTAGCATTAGATCAAGAAACAGAGTGTGCACACTGGAGTTTTGGGGTAGGAGGGAATGAAGGTGATGACACTACTGAGTGCATGTACAAGTGCCACTTTACGGAGCGCAGAGGGTCATAGGATGGATTCAGCACGGCTGCTGTGGATTACACTAGTGGGGGTCTCGAACACTGAACCCTCCAGACACTCAATTATTTCCAAGCTTGAGCGCTGAAATTGCTCAGGGTCATCCACAGCCACAGCATATTTATGCAGTCTTTGAGGCCTGTACATTGAAAACAGAATGTAGCGGCAGCTGGTTTCTGAAGTTACAGGCATGGCTTCCCATGTGTAGCTTATGCAGACTGCCCCATCCTTTCACCACCTTCTAATCAAAGGCCTTTACTTTGTTCAACAACTTCTGGATGCCCTGCTGTCTTCTACTCTCTGTTCCCCAAGAACACACAAACTGGCTGCTTAAACCAAGGCACTGTAGAATCAAGACAAGCAGGGACAACCAAAAATGAGTATTTCTGGAGAAAGGAAAGAAGGGAACAACATGTGGTATTGCATGAGAGGAGCGGACAGGGTGCTGGGATGGTTTTAAACAGAATTTGTTTTGCTGTGCAAGGATGAGCCCCAGGACAGACCGGAGGAAGCTCTGTACAGACAGTAGCACAGAGCAAGAAACTGGTAGGCTGTGCGAAAAAGCTGCAGGAAGTATGACGCAGACAACAGAAGAAGAAGTATGAGCATAAGAGGGCTGGTCTCAACATCAGCTGATATAACAGATGGGACATGACAGTAATTAAGAGGGGATTATTTACAGATGTAGTTATCCAGGTAAGTCAGACACACAATACATTTACAGATCTCCACTGCAGCTATGATGCAGGCTGGCAGTTTCTAAGAGCTGCCACAGGAACATTAGACTGGCTGGGACCTCGTCAAATCCTGCTATCCTGAATAAGCACACCATAAACTATCAAACATGTTTTTCACATGCACTTGGTCTCTCACCTTCATTGCTATGAGGTGTCTTTGGATCTCTTCAGGAATCACTATCCAGCTAGTCTCAGATGTAGCTCTGTTCTTTTGCAGCATTGTGCTGTACTTTAAACAGCTCTTCCCAGCCTATTCACCAGTGCAGCTGGTTCTTTGTAAGTTCTTTGGAAGACCAACACAAACCAGCATGCCTGCTTCCAGCACTTTTTATTTTTTTGGCTACACCATAGAAAGCAAGCTTTTGCGGCTGCTTCTAAAGTCACAGGAGACCAGAAATGCACGTGCAGTTTCACGGGAGAGCTCACCAGGGCCTTGGAAAGCGATACCATCACTTCCCTCTGTCTGCTGGAAATACTCCAAATAACACATTTGCTGCTTCTGTTTAGCAGTCATGTGGTGAGCAATATGAAAGGAGTTTGCTGGGGCTCAGCTCAGTTTCTCCAAAAGACCAGAAACCCTGGCACTTTATTTGGCTGCACCAAGCTCTGCAGAGAGGTGGCAAATTAAAGGGGCCCTATTCACAAGCCAGTCACATCCAGTAGGCTTCTCTTTCTATAGCTGCAGCAGAGAACTTGATCTATTTTTTGAGATTTTTCAGAGTTGACATGTTTAACTTCTAATGATAGAAAGAAAAAGAAAATGGTTCTGGAAATGGTTCATTCAGCCCAAGATTCCCCTATTTGCTGTTCATGCAGTCAGTTACACTGGGTGAAAGAGTGGAAGAGTAATAGAAGAAAACAACTGAATGGAAGAGGGACATTTTCAGGGAGACAGTTGCTTCTGATCAAAGAGAATACAGATTGGTGCTCACTGAAGCAAGAATGAACAAAAAACTGCAGTCAGTCCTCACAGAGAATTTTTGTATACTGTAAGGTACCATTTCCTTAAACACTAATTAGAGGGAAGAAAAACAAGGCACATTAATGAATGGACCTGCATATTTACCTGCCTGTTAAGAAGCAGATAAACACACAATTTAAGAAGCCAAGGTCTATTCATATTTGCATGGAAGATCTCCAAGCATATCAATTCAAAAGAGAAAAGCCTCCAATCCATCAACAGCCTACAGTATGCTAACGCCATAGGAGGCTCCCTAACTGCAGTCCTGAACTACTGCATCAGTATGGCACTGACTGGCTCTGAGTCAGTGCCCCCATCCTTTGATCTTATGTCCTTTCTGCTAGGTACAAAATAAACATGTCTGGTTTGCTCATTTAAAGCACCTCCCAGCTTCACCCAACACAGTGTTCTTGTCTTCTGGTCTTCCATTACATGTCCAATAGGAATGCTTCATGCGCAGGCTCTTCCAAATCTTCTTTCTATAATAACCTGCAAGATTATGTCCTTGCTCTCCCTTCACCCTCTTGATGCTGACTGAGCTACCTGCAGAGTCTTGATGAGAGATGCCTTTTCCCTTTCTGGCTTTCCAGAAATTCACAAGCTCGCATGTAAAGCCTGCTCTGGGGACAGGCACCATTGCCGAGCTGAGAGGGACTCCCAGTACCATGGTTTCAGGCCATCACATGATGCTCTCTTTCAGGCTGTCTAGACTAAACTGTGGCTGTGAGTGGGCAATGCTGATGCCTGAAATTTCAGCCCATGAGAGAAATGCCTGTCCCTGGTGAATTGCTCAACATGCAGGACGAAAAAGATGCCAAGTTCCTGTGCTCATTCCTTCCGGCAGAGCAAGGAGGGTGGAAAAGCAAGCTGCTCTTGGGCAAGAGCCCTTTTCACTTTTCTCCAGACTCCTCTCTTGTCCCCTTCTCTGCACCGCTGACATGGAGAAGCTCATGCACCTCATCTTCTTGGTCTTCTTGTCAGGTAAGAAAGCATACATGGCATTGGGTTTCAGTTAACAGATAGAGTAAAGGATTGCTGCAAAACTTAGTCTCTACCTGCACCTGGTATGAGATGACTGATAATGCCACAGGAAAAGACTGCACAGGTCTTGAAAGACAGTAGCTTTTTCCAAATGCAAATGTATCTTTGTTGTAGCATGCAGTTCTTTTGAAGACCAATGCAAACAGTTATTTTGGATAAAAAGAGTCTTACTGCCTGTCTGTACACTGTGAAGTCCAGTGCAATACAAGCAGAGGGAACCTGGAGCATTGCAGTGTGTTCAGCCCCCTGCTCTTCCTCCCCAGTTATACTGCAGGGATGTCAGACTCCTTCCTTGGAGTTTGTTCTTTTCCCTTAATTTAACAAAGGGCCAGTGGTGACCCCAGTGCTCAGCTTTTCTCACAGGGATCATTTTGAGTCAGAACAGGAAATACTGTTGACAGAAGTCCTCTGCGCCTTCTCAGAATGAAATGTGAAATTTCAAAATCCTATTTGCATTTGTAGGGCTTTGAATGTAAATTGCAGCATCTAGGGTTCAAGAGGAGGAAAACAAAACTCAGTGAATGGGACATCTCTGAAATCTTGAGCACTTGACTATTCTCAGCTTGGAAAGTAATGTTCATCTGAAGTGAGAAACAAGGCACAGGACCCAGACAGTACTCCCAGCTAGCAGCCTTCTCTCTCCAGCCACACTCTGGAGATCCAATACTTGCAGGAGTGCACATAAAGGCAACAGATTCAGGCTTCCGGAGCACGAAACCTGTCTCAAAAATCTGAATGAGTTTGGAAAAAAGTCCACTGTACTTTTTTCAGTAGCGTGCAACAAGGGAGGAGGAACACAAATAGTAAATGAACTGTTAGCAGAATTGGTTGAAAAGATAATGACACAACATTTTCCACAGGGGCATCAGCAAATCTTTAAATGCCATGGTTCTGATCAAGAGATTTTTTGCACTGCTGTTTTAAATAGAAATAGAAAACTAAAAACCAAAACCCTGAGGCCATTCCAGGAACCGAACGGGCAGAATTGGAGGCAAGATGGGGTCCACAAGAGAAATAGGAGAGGGAGTTCCAACCTTTAGAGCGATTGCAAAGGGCCGGACTGGACATTCAGTGAGGTAAGCTTTGACTGGAACAACTGAGGGGAGCAACATATGAGGACGAAGACTTGTAGGTGTACTTGAAGAGACTTGGGTACTTGGCAAGAACAGATCCATTTTTATGCCACCTTCTAGCCTGGAAGACCTTCATATTTTTTAGTTCACAATTCACCTAGAATGGCTGAAATTATTTTAAGAAGTGTTACTAAAAAGGCTCAGCCAGCACAAAGTTCTCACAAAAGCCTATTTTTTAATTTACTGCTGTTTTATCATTACTTATGATTTCACAGAAGGCA